ACGTGGCCAGGTCGGCAGTGCCTGGGGAAGGTCCCTAAGCCCAGGAAGCGGGCCGCTGTGGTGCGCCAGCCGCCCCGCGTCACAGAAAGTAAATTCCTGTCAGCGCCAGCTCCCCCATGCCCCGGCAGGCAGGGCTGGGGAGTTGTCAGCTCCGCACTGAGCCCCCCTGCTGCGACCTCCGGGCTTTAAAAAGCAGGTGCAAAGAAGTAAAAGGATTTGTTGCGTATCCTGAACGGTAACAGAGCCCGAAAGGCTGAGCGGTAAAACGCATCCTGAGTCTCCCTTCCCGTTTGGTTTATGCAGGTGGAGGCTCTGGTGAAAGCTCTGTAACGGCGCAGCCCCAGAGGACCCCCCCGGCTGTTAGCCATGGCCGTACCTATTGCAGTTCTTGACTGTGACCTCTTGCTGTATGGCCGCGGACACCGGACGTTGGATCGCTTCAAGCTGGAGGATGTCACGGATGAATATCTGGTATCCACGTACGGCTTTCCCCGACAGTTCATTTACTACCTAGTGGATCTCCTGGGATCCAGTCTCTCTCGCCCTACGCAGCGGTCCAGGGCCATCAGTCCGGAGACGCAGGTACTTGCTGCACTGGGTTTCTATACCTCCGGCTCTTTCCAGACTCGCATGGGGGATGCTATTGGCATTAGTCAAGCCTCCATGAGCCGCTGCGTTGCCAATGTAACTGAGGCCTTGGTGGAAAGAGCCTCACAGTTTATTCACTTTCCTGAGGATGAAGGTACTGTTCAGAGCCTGAAGGATGACTTTTATGGGCTTGCAGGCATGCCGGGAGTGCTGGGGGTGGTTGACTGCACCCATGTGGCAATTAAAGCACCAAATGCTGAGGACCTGTCCTATGTGAACCGAAAGGGTCTCCATTCTCTGAACTGCCTGATGGTGTGTGATGCCAGAGGAACCCTCCTGAGTGCAGAAACACACTGGCCAGGCAGCCTGCCCGACTGCACGGTGTTACAGCAGGCAGCCCTTACAAGCCAGTTTGAAACTGAGCTACATAAAGATGGCTGGCTACTCGGTAAGTCAATTTTTCATCATTGGTTTCTGAGGAAAGTCTATTATATGCTGGCTCCCCTTTGAGTGTAGAGCCTCTTTGCACAAGCGATACATTTAATGCTGATTGCTTTCCTGCAAATTCCTTGAGATTTGCAATCCAGTTTGGACAATCCTTCTAGAAGTCTAGAACGGTTACTTCTGATCCATGTTTTATACAGTCTGGTCATTGTATGTATGAGTTTACATAAATTCTGTTAAGACCTTGTTTTCAGTAACGTACACTTTTCTAAGCTGAATTATGCAATTTTTAATTCTATGTAGCATCCTAGTCCAGCTGTCTTTCACTATATTATGTAGTAAATGAATTATCTTAAAACTCTTCTGTGTTCTGGACTAGATGATCTTTCGAGGTCCCTTCCAACTCCTAATATTCTATGATTCTGTCATTCTTCCAGGATTTCCCTGCATAAAACACAGTGTCTTTATTTTATTGTTTGTCACATTTGTAAACCCGAGTTACATGTTTTCTCATGCCTTCTGTTTTAGCCACAGAAATGTTATTCTGTATGTGCAGTACCAGAAAACCAAGGGTGAAGAGCTGCAACCTGTGATTAACTGTAGGTATGTAACCTGTCCTCCTCCTTGCTGCTAACAGGTGACAGCTCCTTCTTTCTCCGAACGTGGTTGATGACCCCACTGCATATCCCTGAGACACCTGCAGAATATCGGTACAACATGGCGCATTCTGCGACTCACAATATCATCGAGCGGACGTTCAGAACCATTTGGTCGCGTTTCCGCTGCCTGGATGGATCCAAAGGCACCCTGCAGTATTCTCCAGAGAAATCCAGCCACATCATTCTGGCCTGCTGTGTGCTCCATAACATCTCCCTGCAGCACGGGCTGGATGTGTGGTCTTCCCCGGCCACGGGACACATGGAACAGCCGGAAGAGGAGTATGAGCAAATGGAATCGATGGACTCGGAGGCCTGTCGGGTTCGTCAGGAGCTTTTACTTACTCATTTCAGCTAATGTGACAGAGGGAAGGCTCCTAATGGTTCGTCTGGGAAGATACGCAGAGGATATGCTCTTCGTCTTCCTTAAATTTGTAAGGACTAAGCAGATGTGAGGCGAGGAGAAATTTCACTCTCTTCATTTTAGGCAGTATGCTGAATTTCTGTCAATCTCTCCAGAGATGCAGTTTAAGTGCTAAATTTTTATTGTTTTGATGCTTATAGACTGCCCTTTCATCTGATTTAGAGCACAATGACTAACGTGAGATCAGTGGAGAAACTTGGGAGACTGATAATTATGAAAAATCTGTAAGCTTCACAGTGTTTCATAAAGCAACAATTCTATGCCATTTTGTAACTCAAAACACTTATAATTGATTTTTAAACAGTTTTTCACATAAATTAAAATTCCATGTGGACTCATGTCTACCAAGAATTTCATGAGCAGCAAAGGAAACACTTACCTCTTTGTTTTCAGATACCATTTTTTTGCTAAATATAGTGTCAGAGTTTTGCACATCTCACAAAACCCAGCGATTCCTCTGAAAGCTGACAGCTGCGTTCTGAGAGGAGTCTGGCTTTTTGCTGGGTACGCACTAGTGCTTTTGTGTACCTCGAAGATCAGAAAGTGTTGAACATTTCTTCTTTCCCAAACAGACTGGAAAAGGGTTAAGCTATGGTTGACTCTGTCAGTGACTTAACAAATATTAGAAAATGAGCTAGTAAATGTCAGTCCACTTCTCCCCAGCTGTGTCTGCCACAGCAGAAATTGCCATTAACGACTCATCTTGTTGGCTGCTGTAAAAGAAATGCCAAGGACTGGCTAGGTCACAAACCTTGAAGTGATTGCAGAAGTTCTCTGTTTAGATCAGAGCTGAGGTTGCTCTGCCAGTGCTGGCCATCTCCCCATTCAGTGGAAAAAGACTGCTAATGCACGCAGTTGTTGCTGGCACCTGACTGGAAAGTTTCCTGGCAATGTTCTCGTTCCAAAAGATGCAAGTGTTTCCAAGGATCTCTTGACAGCAATCTGAGAACATTTTCTTACGTTTTATTGTTTACTGGGTAGCAAATGAAACAAAAGTGGTAGGGAATGCAGAATGCTGCAAAAATGTAGCTGCTTAAAGTAGCAGTGCAAGCATCTGGCAGGGCAGGTCACTCTGTTCCAGAGGAAATGAACCTGGATCATGCCCCATGTTTGAAGAATAAGAAGCATGGGATACACTCCAAAGTGTACGATAGAAATGCAGGGTTAGGTATAGTTCTGTCAGGTTTGCAGTTTCCATCTTATAGAAAACCAAGCATGCTTTATCATGCATAAGCTGCATGTTTTCTGAAGCCTTGATGAGAGCTGTAACGTCGTATGTACAACAATCTAAGATGTAATTCTGTTTTCTTTACACATCTTCCCATGAAGCATCATGTAAGAGCTACTATTGCTCACTGTGGCAAAACTCCTGCTCCTTTTACCTAGGAAGAAGCAGTCAAGCATTGTTCTATGAAAAAAGTATTTTTAAGAAAAGAGTTGCTGCCTTATATGGTGCCTGGTGGCTCATGATCATATTTGACAGCCCATGCTAAAAATACTGATCATTAGACCTCAACACCAGCAGACACTGAATGAGCTGCATGGGTGATGCTAAGGTCAAGTGAGACTTGGACACGTGTAGGTACAAACAGTGTCACGTAATAACAAACTGGAGTTTCTCAACTTCAGCTATGAATAGCTCTTCTCAGCGTGTGCCGAGACCAGAGTGAACTCAAAGTGGAGCCTTTTCCCAGAACACATTTGCTGCTGGGTTTTGTCTTTCTTCAGCCACTGTCACCTTTGGTAGAGTTTAATTTCAAAACTGATCTCACTGCTTATCAGTTTGGGCAAAAACTGCATCAGGCCATGCCAGACAAAACCAATCCACTCAAAACTACTCTTTTTTTTCCTGGAGTCAGACATCAGTACCCTTTAGTTCACTTGGGAAATGGAACATCATCTTCTAGAGAGGTTTTCCCCATGTACTTCTAAGCAACTTCCATCAAAACAATTCAGCCAGACTTTTCTCTTTTCCCTTGGGTTTAAGACTATTTAAATTTCACAGCTGAGGTTCATGTTTCTTTCCTGCTTTCCAGCTCCTCTGTACTTTCACCTTATCTCACCAGCTGCATTCTGGAGTACTTGCAAGTTTGTACGTTGTCAGAGCTTCAAAAATTAAAGTCTACTCAGGCTCTGAAATACTGTCTCAGTGACCTCATGGAGGATGATCGTGACTGACTGGTGTATTGTAATTTCCCTTCCTTGTAAAATCCCACCACCAGCCCTTTTCAGTTTTCCTTTAAAATACCTCCTCGAAGACTGTCTTGCTGCACTGCAGGCTGCCTTTGCTCCTTCCAATCCTGCATCTCACAGCAAACCTCAAGCCCTAAACTTCACCTGTCCGGGCCTTTTGACAAAATGTTTTTGTTTTTCTCTTGCTGATTACCTGGTGCCAGGTGGCCTCACTTGCTTAAATTTTTCTTCTAATACCCAAGTCCCTCCTGAGACTCTCACTCCTCCAATACGTACAAGGCAGGAAGATCCAGCAGCATGTCCTGCTGTCTCCTCCAGGGTTCTCATCGCAGGCTGCTGCTCTTCCCACGAGGCTATGTACGCATTTTGTGTCTTCACCAGCTGTGACTTTGGAGATGGATATGTGACAATAAATACACTGCTATGTCAGGAGTTACATCTCCTCTGATACCCTTATCTTTTTCTCTCTAAATGTGTTTTGCTCTGATACCATCTATCTTGTCTTGCCTGTTTTTAATTACATTTTTCCACTCCGTATTAGTCTTGGGGGGTGGGAATACCCTTATCTTTTTCTCTCTAAATGTGTTTCGCTCTGATACCATCTATCTTGTCTTGCCTGGTTTTAATTACATTTTTCCACTTCGTATTAGTCTTGGGGGGCGGGGGGAAGATACACGAGACGTGGAGAACGTGCTGTAGGGTGTGATTTAAGAAAAATAGTCTGCAGGAAAGTGGGAGTAGGGCCGGAGATGTATATGTGACAATAAATACACTGCTATGTCAGGAGTTACATCTCCTCTGATACCCTTATCTTTTTCTCTCTAAATGTGTTTTGCTCTGATACCATCTATCTTGTCTTGCCTGTTTTTAATTACATTTTTCCACTCCGTATTAGTCTTGGGGGGTGGGAGGAAGATACACGAGACGTGGAGAACGTGCTGTAGGGTGTGATTTAAGAAAAATAGTCTGCAGGAAAGTGGGAGTAGGACCCTAGAGGCTTCTCCATCTGGAGGTAACAGCGAGCTCCCTTGGTGCGAGACCCCGGCACAGCTCCCAAGGCCTTCACGGGGTCGGGCCGGGGCCCACCCGGCACACCGTCATTTTTCCCTTGACCAGGTGCCTGGCACGGCGGGGCTCCTGGCTCCCCGCCGCGGCCTCCACCTGCAGCCGTCCTGTCTGGTGGAGAGGCGCCCGGTGCCCCGGCAGCACCCTCCGGGCTCGATTGGTCTTGCCTGCCCTCCGTCGCCCCCGGGTGGCCACGCGCAGCGCTGCAGCGCAGTAGAAGAGCTCTTCACTCGGCTAGCGCA